AAAAAAAAGGAGAGAAAAAGAGCACTTCAAGGCACAATAAGTTGGTTGGAGTCACGTAGGTTTACATTAGGAAGTCTTTGAGATAAACTACTGGAGTGAGGCCACATAGACCTTTTAGTAATATGGAAGGCACTTAATTGAAGACCGTAAGCAGTGGAGAGAAAGGCCTCCTAATAATTCAACCTCATGTTGTGTGGAGCAGAAGAAAGCAGGAGAAACTTAAAAGGAATTTTAAAAACTATTTCCACGCAAAATGTGATTTGAATAAACCATAACCTTGTGTAAAAAAACGAAATCTCTCTTTGGTGATTCATTCATGAATCAGACTGATCCGGTTTTAACATACTGACTCATTGATCCGGTACACGCTTGGAATATGTCGCATGAGTCGTTTTGACCACTTTTATGATACTTTTTTTTTTGCCCTTTCACTGTAATTGAATGGGAAAGATCAGCCAGCACAGTCAGAATTTCTTTTTTGTGTTGTGTGGAATAAAATCATACAGGTCTGGAACAACATGAGATTGAATGAGGACAGAATTTTCAGTTTTAGATGAACAATTCCTTTAGTGATAAAGCTAATGCCAAAGCCAGTATGAAAATATCATTTTTTCAGGTCAAGGCTCTTCCCAGCATGATCTTGAATTCATTCTTTTATTAGAATACTAATCATGTTTGACCAAATTTGTGCATGCCAACTATTAGTCAAACAGAAACATCCATGCAAGAAATTCTCATTATGGCTTAATACTAAAATAATTTGAAAATCAATCACACACATATACACAGTTTGTTACCCAGCTGAAATTAATGAGCTCTATATGTGCAGAAATATCCTCTTTCAGTAAAAATGTCACACATTATCCTTTCTATTAGCGCTTCTGTCTCAGACTTCATTTTATTTGTGGAAATGTTCTCACCTCTGAACTATCTACATTTTTAGCTAATCATCTAATTAGTGATGACACTCAGACAGTGAATATTGATAGAAACCGTCTTTTGTTTAGTCTTTTTTTCTTGTTACACTTGTTGTTCAGTGTCTAGTTTTGTGTCAGTGCTGGCTCTTCTCCTCTATCTCCATTACTTACTCCTCTCTGCTAGGCTCATTTTAATCACAACAGCCTTTCCAATATTTTAAGAACAAAAAATGTTTTTTTTTTTTTTTTTTTTTAGGTCTTATTCATTTGATGCTGTGAAAGTGTGTTGCTTCCATCTTCTATTTTTGTTTTTTGGAGGAGAGGAAAAAATAATATAATTATTCGTGTGGAAATGTATCTGAAAAATGTTTTACTCAAGTATAAAATTGTTTTTATTCTGGCCCTCCATGTATCACTTATTTTGCTCCTTGGAGTGCAAAAGTAATGTAGAAGAATCACCTTGAGCCGTTCTTCCAGTTCAAATTTCCCTTTTATTCAGAAGTTACACTCTGCAAATTCCATTTACGCTGCATGGTTGAACCCAATGGTAAAATTGAAAACTGCCCATTTATGAATCACATTTGTGCCACATATGCAATTCTGTTGCTCACAGGAGATGTCTTTAGGGATTGTGATGGTACAAGACATTGCAAAAAATGATTTTTCTCATGATCGAAAATTCTGTTTTTGTACTTCAGATGTTTTCGTTCAAATCAATTAGTCTCTGTTCACTCTGCATGTGAGGAATACATTTTTCATTAAAAAAGCAGTTTGACTTAAAAGTTGTCATTGTTAAAAATTGTATATATATATATATATATATATAAAAGCAGCCCTAAAAATAAATATGCACTAATATGCTAACTCTAACAATATGAAAAAAGTAAAGAATGGATACTTGAGTGAGCAACTTTTTTTTCCTTTTTCTTTCTTTAGGAGGAGTGTATTTTAATATAATGCTACATTATACCATAACATACTAAAATAATTAGGGAAGGCCATTAAAATGCACAAAAAAAGTGGATATTCAAGCCTCTACGTCAATAATATATGGTGCTTTGGGGGAAAAAAAGTCGGACCACTAACCAAACCCAAACACTAAAAATAAGTTATTCCTTAACTTTTCTCAGATTAGTGATTTGAAATGTAATATGCAAGTCAGTACATTGCCTACAGATGTGCCTACTGTTAAACACATGTAGTCACTGTGAATACGGATGAATGCAGATATTGTAGCAGTGTGTTTTATTGTAACGCTCGTACTGCAGGAGGCGTTCAATAGCTCAATGAAGGGCTGTCTCCTACACATGAGGTGTTCTAAATATGACACATGATGAGTCTGGCTGTTAGCATGGACAGGGGAAAGGCTATACTGAAACAGTATCAAGCTCAGATAGGGGACAGCATTGGCGCCAACTTCCGCAGTATGTAATATGTCTAGCAGAATGTAACCACCAGGACTAAAAATATTTCAGTGACATCCACCTCATGGCATGATATCTCTCTGTGAAATAAACAACGTTGACTTCACTTCTCAGGTTTCATCTCTAAAAAAGTTTCATCAGTATAGCTCACGATGGTGGCGTGATGGCAGAGAACGCATGTGAAACCCCCAAAATAAATTTTTTTAACAGTCTGAATAGAGTATGCCGCTTTAGTACTTCTAAAATAAGTTCATGGAAACATGCAATATAATTTATGATTGCATTTTTTTTTTGCATGCTTTTATATGTATTATATATTTTGAATCAGTGGGTGGAAAAGTCTAAAAAGTGAATTTTTCTCTACATGTAATTGGCCCACCATTACTAGCTTCATCGGAAAAAAGAAAAACATAATATGTGTATTCTTGGAGAACAGTTCTTATGCTCTTTTCATGCAATGCTATTTTCAAATTATGTTAATCCCCAGGAAACCAATATTGTAAATGTTGGCAATCAAATCCAGTTTATTTTTGTTGACAGTTTATTTATGTTATTTTTGTAAGAAAAATTCAGAGAAAGGAAAAGAAAACGTAAAAAAGGGAAAACATGAACATAATACATTTTTGTTACAACCTTTTCCTTTCGTTTAAACGTGGAAAGTATATAGGTTATGTGGTAACATTTTTGTATCTAAAAAGTATTTTCTTAAGTTGATAAATTATGCAGAATTTTTCAAAATAAATAATTACTCTCTACAGCTGAGAAAGCATTCCCAAATGTTCATGTATTTCTTAGCAACTGAAAGTTTATTATTGTACACATTTACCTTGAAACTATATGTATTCATCTTCTGCTGTAGATTCATATGTTTGATTCACATTTTAAACAGCTAGCACAATATTAGTGATGAATTGGTGTAAATTAATTTTGTTTGTTTTATTTTTATAGATAGAAAATAAAATGCATTACAGACAGTAATGCTAGGCAGTCATTTGGAGACACTACTGCCACGTTTATTTAGTATTTTCTTTAGTGTGTGTGTGTTTGACAACAAGTGGTTGGTTCATCTTGAAGTTGTTATTGTGGACAGGACTAGTAATTATGGGCCTTTGGACTTATGGTTTATGGTTTGTCATGGATGAGAACAGAACATTTAAGTACAAGTAAAGCACCTGGACCCCAAAACCATGTTAACATTGTAAAAATGATGCACTCTGTATTATTATAAGACTATACATACACCTATATAGTACATACATAACATACATTCATTTGCTTACAAAAATAAAAACAGTATATTACTAGATTTTAATGACACAGTATTCTACAAGGGCAGACTTTACATCAAGATTTTTTAGGTTAAAATGTATATGAATGTATAATGAATGGTGTACAAATTTTCCATTTAGTCTATAAGATCATAAATGCTGCATATATGATAACTATTGAAAAATAATCATGAAATGCTGTTTACAGTCATTTTAGATGAAGCACACCACAGGACATGTCAACTTCCCAAAAGTGTTTCATGTCAGCTACACTCATACTAGTTGTCAAAAACATTACTACTGTGTTCTGCTAATTATTCCACACAGAAATTACCACCTGTCAGTAAATGTTCACAGAATGACAGAGTGTTTCATTTCACTTATTTGGTTTCAGTTCTACATTGCTGAGCACCGAGAAAGTTTTGAATAAACAAATATGTCCCTAAAATCAAAGAGTGACATTTATTTATATATTTATTAATATGTTCTTACCCCACAATATCTGTAAAAGACATTCTGATTTTTGTGTATTATATGTATATATCTGCCCAGGGATTTGTGTCATACCCCTATATTGTGACCAGCAAACTGCAACATGCTCACCACACACACACACACACACACACACACACACACACACATAAAGATACTAATAATAGCCCATTTGAGACAACTACAGCATGTCAACTCACTCAAAATTTGGTTGTGACTCCTAATTTAAGCTCTACTGCTATAGAATGCGGTTGTCACTTGCTATTCATAACCAAAACTGTGCCCTGAAGAGCAAAGTTTTATTCTACCTTTAAATATCGATAAGCTTATTTATTTTAATATCTTAACTATGCATAGATAGATAGATAGATAGATAGATAGATAGATAGATAGATAGATAGATAGAGATTTTAAAGTG